TACTTGGCTGTGTAGCCGCGTGATGCGGTTCCAGTCGAGACCCACAAATTGGCCCTTGCTCACCATAGAGTCTCCAGTAGCTCAAGTGGTTAGAGCATCCGACTAGATCACGGAGGGTCGTGGGTTCAAATCCCATCTGGGACTCGGAATTTTTTTCCGAGTCCTCCTCAAAATTAATATCATGTTGCTGTTGTTTCATCTTTAATATACTCCTTAAAAACACACCTGCTATTGTTTTTAGCCAGGCTTGGAGCATTGTTTGGGTGATTCATCCATTGTTTCGTTAGCCAATAAAACAACTCGCTGTAAAAGCTTCGTGGCCTCCCCACGTAATGGATTTTCAAGTTATTTATAGATTCGCTTTCGCGCCAGAAATGCATCAGCCGATCAGAACTTATTAGGATTTCATTAATGGCAGAGAGGACTAAGGACCCTCTATATAGATAAAGTTGAGTACAACTCTGGTCGAGTTACGTTTTATTGATTCGTTTACCATATTTGTTCGATTAAACGCCACAGCATTAATTAAATTTTAAGCGTATTTAATGCGGCGTTTATTCAACAGGGGAACCCAACGTCAATTTTTGGAAAATATCTGTTGGGAAGACTATTTGAGATCTAGAATTTTCGGCACATTTGCTGTAAAATTTCTTGCTTGCCTGCCTCTCCTAGGATTTTCGAACATTTAAAAAATGGTATAATTGTCCATTTTTAACGGATTTTTACCCTAAAAAAGTCACCTAGATTTTTCAGAAGCCCTTTTCCTGGCTGAAATTTTCGAAAAGGTAAGTTTTGATCCCTATAATTTTCGGATCATTGGACTTTCAGGTAGAAAATCCGAACAGATGAAAAGTTGTTAGGGGATAGAAATATGCCTATATCTACCGTTTAAATACTAAAATACGTTCAACAATGCTATGTTTAAGTGGTTTTGAACTATATTCTCGTTGGGTGCCCCTGATTCAAGGACGGCGTTCATTTCAAAATCACATTGCTTAGGTCACTGTAAACAAATACAATAATCATTTACAAAAATTATGTAAAATAGCAAGATGTTTAAAGTTCCAGTGTTTCGCTTTATCTACTGAAATGGAATTGTAATTGTCTGTGGGGTCTGAACAGTGTAGATTAGCAATCAATCAATTATCAGTTAAGCCTCATATAACCGCCGCATTCTTTTAATTGGGTGCAACGTTAATTCCAGGGAGGCTTGTTTTCATGGGTGGGGTTAAATCGAGATCCAGTAAATATGGTACGTGCGTCGTTTTTGTTTTTCCCTTCGCATACCTTTCAGTATCCGAAAGTGTAGAAGTTCTCTTTTGTAGCTCTGAATTAGAAATTCCTTTTTCTTTCTGCGAGAGTTCATCCTCAACAGTTTTGTTGTCGGGTTTGTCGAGAGGATTCTGATTCTCTTTACCGTCCTTGGATTCTGTGTTTGTTGTTGTGTCCAATTCAGCTGTGCCAGTTGAATTTGTTTTGCCTTCCCCCACGGTTGTCTTGGAGATCGCCAGCGGGTTTGTCTGCAATCATAAAAAGGACATCTATAAAAGCGAAAATCTGACATGTGGAAGTATCTGCAACTCCGGGGAGGGAGAGGGGTGGGACAGACATGAAAGATGGAGAAATGCTCGTCCTCTCACTTAAAAATATAAACGGTCTCAATTATGGTTTTCAGGACGGAAAGCCAATATTTTTACCCATCTAGGGGTCAAATTTACCCACTCCATGTAGGGCGTGTCTCCAGGCCTTCTCAGTCAATATTCAGTGTGTTCTTGTCAGTCAATGCATTTCCGTGACGAATACGAGACCATCCGAGACGAAGTCACTCGGACCACGTAACTCGAAACGCAATGGCCGCGCGGAATAATGAGGCCTAGGGACTAGGCAAGGGCCAAATAAAGCCTGATCCACACCATATTGGTCTCTAATAATTAATAATTATAATTTTTTGACGGATATCCCTGTTCATTCGGGATATACCTCTGTTCTGCTACCAACGATGTTTTAAAGGGACAGGTTCACGGTTCAGCGCATGCTCATTAATCAAAATGCTGTTTTTCTGCCAGGACATGCTGTACCGTCTATGTAGGCAATATGATCATGTCATAATGTTGTCAAAGAACCAATCTGCAAACTCCCCAGGCAGTCACTTGATCAGCTTAGGTGCAAATAGCTTAAAAGAAATAAAACCTTCGGGTTAACAATAAATTCAACGTTGGTAGTGTTGGCATAATCCACTAATTTTTTTCTGCGATTTTAGTGCCCCTCCATTCTACTTCAGGTTACTCTGAAATGCACTTCTACTTTGAAATACACTTTGAGATCACTGAGATACATGTGAGTTGGATTTTTAATCGATAGAATAACTAATAAATTGGAAAAAAGTAATTTAATTAATGAGCATGCGCTGAATCATGAACCTGTCCCTTTAAATTTATTTGTACCTGAGAGTTCGGAGCAATGTTTTCTTTCTCAAGCTCATCAACTGTTTCCTTCTCATCCAGTTTTGGTCTGCGAAAGCTGAAGAATCTGCGAAGCATATTCTCTCGAATGAAGGTGTCTAGAACGTGGTAAACAACTGTTTGGGAACAAGAAATAGAAGGAAAGACCTTCAGATTGTTTAAATGAACAGCTTATGCAGCTTCAAACTGGAAAAGCAAGCCTTGCTGGGATTGCAACCTTGAGCTCTGCAATACCAGTGCAGCGCACTGACCAATTGAACTAGCAAGCAGACTGGGAGCTGGCCATTAATTGGTTCGTAATATACCCGAGAAAGATGAAGATGAAATAATGAATACATGAATTTCATATATTTGAACTGCGAAATGAAAGGGAAATAAATGAAGAGAAGATCATCATAATTAAATAAGCCGCTTACGCAGTTGGGACGAGCCTTACTACATAATATACCAAAGTTGGTTTTGGTCCTCATAAGGTGAAATTTCGCATTTCAAGCACCCGCGCGTATCGGCGGTAAATCGAATGGCCACCCGGATTTTTAGAGAGGAAAAATCAACGACAAAGCCGAGTCTTTTTTTCGAGTAAATTTCTATGTCTACGTTGACGTGGATAACAGAAAAAAGAACAAGAGGCAGATATAAAAAAAAAAACAAAGGAGACGAATTTCTTTACTCCGTGAAAAGAAACATGAATATTTTATAGCGGCGGTGAGAAAATTGGCCACCAAGATGAAGTGAGCGGCGGTGAAAAAAAATCCGAACAGGAACACATACGTAACTAGGACGTTTCTGGAAGTTATAAGTTGTAGTCGTGCAAACAAACGCAAGCAAAAGCAAATAAATGAACAAAAAAGTGTGCCGCACCTGCAAAGTTTTTTTTCTGCTAATTAGACCTATGGATTTTTTTTGCAGTTCTCGCTACCGTCGCCGTTTAGCATTACACGATTTTATATTTTGTTTGAGTAGACTACGCTTTTAGGCGTGGCTAAATGTCTATATTGTATTCATCATTTCAGTCTTCATCTTTTCTTACCCATAGTGCTCCGCTGCCCGCGCTTTTGATCGCGCGAGGGCTCCGCTATGAATTTCATAATTTTGAACTGTGAGATGAAGAAATAAAATCAATAAATGCAGAGAAGAACATCACAGTTGAAAAAAGCAAATTTGCAGTCGCGATAAGTCTTACTACATAAAATATAAGTTGCCTACAGTCGACTCTTTCTTAACAAACACCTGTATAAGACTGACACCTCTGTAAAATGGACACCTAGAGTTGGTCCCTGCCTTTCTTTACTCCCAATATTTGACTCTCTATAAGACAGACACCTCTGGTCTCAAAGGTGTGCGTCTTAGAGAGAGTTGACTTTATTTAACTGTGATGGTCTTCTCTACATGTATTTCTTTCCCGCTTTTAAATACATAAAATTCATATCAGTACATATTCATCATTTTAGCTGAGGTCCGCAACTACTTTTTGCAAATGTTTTGGCATCTGCTATAAACTGGAAAGTTGTCTGCCGATTCATATATAATTCTTACAGGTTCTTATTGAACAACGAGAAAATAAAAAGACAAATCCAATTTAAACAATTATTAATCTCTCTTAAATCCATCTCACAACTAGAAATCCCCGTCCACTGATTATACAATACAAGCACCAATAAAATTGTAGCCGTTTTTGTTCATTGAATACCGTGAATATCAACAAATTATTGTTTTATTATTATTTCCCACATGACATACAGACAGTTCTAAGCGTTTCTTAATATTTATGCCTGATTCTGAGTTCGAAGACTCTATGTGAAACTTGTAAAATCGTGCATGCGTGCAACAGGTGGGTGATTTCGGTTTCAACATGTGTTCACGGACGTTAAATACTGTCACTGTGTTTTTGTTCAAGCAAGCGTGTGAAAGGTTTTGTCGTTACCTAGAAGTAATGATAAAAAATTGGCCTACTAAAACCAATGGAAAGAAAGAAAATTGACTAACTTAGTCAAAACAATGTCTTAGTCTATAACGACAATTGACGGTTTTTAGTGTTGGACTAATACAGCTTGGGACCGAAGGCTTTCTTAATTTGGCGCGGCCAAACAGCTGGAAACGGTCACTCGTGGAACTTGACAGGTTTACATTTTCAAGAAAAATTAAACATGTTGAGTTATGGTAGCGGGAATATTGAAAAGAAAACCCGCGCCAACCTTGAAGTGCCGATACATTTTTAATTCAACTGGAAACTTTCGTTGTTTCAGCTTAAGCCGGGAATTTGAAAATTCTTTCTCGGAGAGTCAGTTTGTAAACATTTGGTTCAAATGGGTGGAGTACAGTTCGCGGGGTATTTATTGCTGCTTATTGAAAACACGTTACAACATGTGATTCCATTGTTTTTTGAAACTAAAAACAGTTCTATTGAAATTGAGGTGCTAGAAAATTTGATAGTTCAGTCTCGAGAACGGTTGAAGGGATAACGCAGATATACCATTCGTCAAGGTATTTAGCACATGCCATCGCCATGGCAAGTTCATAACTACTGATATAAAGTGAACTACTTATTATAGCTATGATTCACCGCGGGGAGGCACTTCAGTGAACAAAAACACGATGAATTGTAGCCAAAGTTCGTTGGCAAAAGGCGTAAAATTAATTTCAACGCATGAACGGATGACTAGAAAAAGTTTATGATAAAGGACTTCACGACAGCTTGTTTATGGAAACCGAGGGTAAGAAAATTGCGAATGAAATTGAAAAAGGGTGGATTAACGAGGTCCATAATCGTGAACCTGATTTCCACGTGTAGAACAATTAGAGGACGCGAAAGAGTTGTAGGCTCTTTAAAGTAGAAACTTCGTATAGGAAAAACTTTCAAAAACAATTAGTAGAGGAAATCTATGCATCAAATATACAACATCTTTATATTAGAGCATGGTTTACGGCGATGCAAACACTCAAGACTTTCACACAACAGTTTCAAATTCGTTTTACGAATGACTTTGTTTTAGTTATCTCAGTCTATTACAGCGCATTGTTCTTAGTATAAAATTTCTATTTGGGTAATAATTTTTAGACAAAAGAAAGTGCAAGAACGTTTAGTTACCTGTGCTCCTATGCTTGTCCGGCTGGGAAGATTTCTGAACTGAAGACATTACCAGCAACCCAGTTGTTTTAACAACCGAGTGTTTAAAAATTCATGCAAAAACCTCGAGCGCTGGAACGAATCCACACGAATCACACAATATACTAGCTATTAATGGCCTCGAAAAGTGCCTCCTTCTTGAAACCCGAAACACTATTTTTTTTTATGGCAAAGTGAAACTAGGGCGAACTTTTATCGTGTAATCAAGCGAGTTGTGATAAATATCTTGCAACACCTGCGATGTCATAAAGCGTGACTTTTGTAGGGCGTTCCTAACAAAGCGCGGGATCCTCTTATAACACCACGCCTCTCAGAATCAGATCACGCAGTATCTGCCCTCTTTCATGAAACAAGAGAGCTATTTTGCTCCCATGCCTTGGTGCTTTTGAGATGGTAGTGAGGACAAGACAGGATGAATAGATAAGATTTAATCTGACGAAGCTGTTGGGCTTTGGGAACATTCCCGAAAAAACTGCAGTGAAGTTCAGTACAGTTATGTTGTTTATAAAGCCCTAATTGAAACAAAAATATTGTAAAGTGAGTCCCATACGGTGCTCTGCTGGACGCGGACAGCTTTTAAAGGGATTAGTATATGATTAGTGAAAAACAAAGCAGAAACTGTCAAAACTAGCAAGTACTTAGGCACGCAAGATAAGGGTGGTGCAAAATTGACTCTTTGAATGTGAATTGGCTTCTCTTGCGATGAACTCAAAATTTGCCAACTGGAAATGAAAATTTTCTTTCGACTTCCGGTAAATTAGGCAACTTTCGAGGCGGTTTATTCTTTGACAAGAAGAAGAATTAATAAATAAAAAAACTAAGTAGCTGGGTATGCATATAAAATAGCCCAAGCTTACTGCAGATAAACTTTTTAGGGCGAGAAAAAATGTTGAGAATCGTTTACCGGTGAAGATACATGGAATACTATTGTTCTCTTGTGGTGAAGCAGGTTTAGTAAGAGGATAACCTTTACTGCTATACGATTATGTCGAAAACTTACCAGACTTTTAAGTTTGGTAAGTGATATATAAATACAACGTGCTTTTAAATGTTACGGCACGTTTAGTTGAAGAATTATTTTGGTCATCTGAAAGTTTATGCTTTCGGGCATGCGCAGACTCTCCATTTGAGAGTCGCGGGGAGTGAATTCCTGCGCGATGTTAACCGCGACTCGCTCGTGCGTGGCTCAAAAAGATTGCCACAGGCTAGCAATTGAACAAAGAAAGTTTATGTCCGCTCGTGCGGTTTCGATTTAGATTGAGTTTTCCGCATTGAACATTTGAAACTTTGTCAGTATTCAATGGCCACCTCGATGTTTATTCCGTTTCCCAAGTATGACGACATGATGACGAGATAGCTATCTCTTCACTCTGTCAGTCTTATATCTTATATCAGCTATTCTAAGTTTAGAGCCTGAACATGCCACGAGAATTTTACGAATTTCAAGAGAGAAGCTTTTTAGCCCTCTGGAGCAATATCAAAGGGAAAAAAACAACAACAAACAAATCAAAGTACGTGCTAAGAGGAAGCCTCAGCTACTCAAGAAAATTCCGGCTTCATGGAACGAATGCTGAAGTGTTTTGATCTTTATAGCGCGCGGCTTACAGGAAATCGAAGTAGGAATTTAAACGGACTATTATATCAAACCCACGATCAAAACACTTTATCATTAACGAGGATGAGAAATCACGTATACACTAAATTTTTTATAAGAACGTTCAGCCTGAAATTTGCAAAGTATTAAGAACGTGCTTAGAACATACCCGAGTCTCAGAGAAGAACAATTCATTTTTCACTGTTTTTACTTATTTCCTAGATCCAAAAAATCTGAATTACATAATGTCCTATTTGGAATCAGAGTGCGTGTAAAAAGTTTTGTTCTTTCAACACATTACATTGTGTACGGCCAATAATACATTTGCATTGTACCTGTACAGTTCATTAATATGAA